GATATGTGTACAACAATTGCTCGTCAGGTATTCTTATTGATCTGAAATCAAATTGTTACTGTAGCATTGAAATTTACAAGCATAACAAAGAAGAAAGAATGGCAAGAACCTGGGGTACCACTGCACGTGGTCTACCTTATGTCGAGGAAGCTATTACCCCTGCTGGAAACTGGCTGATCGGTGGTGATTTAGAAGTAATGGAACCCATCAAGTACAATGATGGTCTTGATCGCTTCCGGCTTTCCCCTTCACAACTCCGTGACGAGTTTCTGAGACGCAACACAGATGCTGTGTTTGCTTTCCAGCTCAGAAATCCCGTGCACAATGGCCATGCTCTATTGATGACCGACACACGCCGTCGGCTTTTGGAGATGGGATATAAGAATCCTGTCCTCTTGCTTCATCCATTGGGAGGTTATACAAAAGCAGATGATGTACCACTTAGTTGGCGAATGAAGCAACATGAGAAGGTTCATGTGTTCTTAAATATATTGATTTTTACTACCTACCTATCAAAAGCCATTTTTCTAACACATTTTTTTCCCCTCACGTCCTTCTCTTCATATTCGTTCTACAACTATAAGAATTAGAGTCAATTAACTTTTACAGCATGTCAAATTGATCATGACACAATTCATTATGGAACAAAGAATGTTTAGGTACGATATCATATTAGAACTGTTGCTGATCTTGAAGCAATTTGTTCTTGTATCCTGAAGTTCCATTTAGCAGAGCTTGGCTAAGAAATAAGGAAAAGCAACCTTATGTTCCCATATATGTTTTGAGTCCTTTGATCTTACTATAAAGTAATAAAAGTTAATTTTGAAGAATTCTGAACGCTTACCTTAGTGTTAAAATAAGTAATTTATTTGTAACTAGATCAAGTAAAGAATATTTATTTGTCAACCAACTTATAAGCAAACATATCTGTAAGTGAACTTTTAAGCATAGCCAATCATGCTCTATTTCAATGTTGATTTTCATTAGCATCTATATTTTGTA